GGAAGCAGGCTGCCTCATCTTTTTGCTGCAGAGTGGCTGGTGGGTTTGAACTACCAACTTTTGGTTAACAGTTAAATGCCACCACTACACCACTAGAGCTCCTATTCAATCTTGCTTAGGCCACTGTAATTTGAGATTGTTTTTAAATATGCTGCTAAAATCACTTCTGCCTAACATAGTTTTAGTTGTGTCACAACCCTTTCTGAGTGTCTGTATGTGCTGGACACATGCACAAGCTAGATGACAACTCAATAAAGCCCTGAGGTAGACTTATCACCACCATATTTAAATACGATGAAACTTTGATTACATACTTGGTCTCAATTGTCAATTATAGGATTTGAGATTTCACCCCAGGTCATATGTGACCCAAATCTCTGTCATTTTTGTACTAAGCCTCATAGCCACTTGATACAAAATCAGGCATTTTGAGTTTTGTTGAATGTATAATAGCAAGTGGAAACCAAATGGAAATTTGGATTTCCACGTGGAAATCCATGCTCTCAGGGTTGAACCAGAGCAAAGCGTTTTAAGTTTGAATGTGCATCCAAATCTCTTGGGGATGACCCATCCCTACTGAAAAACACAGGGGACAGAATGCGTGAGCCCAATCTTTTTAGCCCATGTGCTAATTTATTAATAAAACTTTGTTTTTTTGTATCTGCAATCATTTTACAGAATCTCCTGGGATGGGGTTAATTTGAGTGGGTTGAGGTAGAGCAGGGATTCTCAACATGTAGTCCCCGAACCAGCAGTATAAGCATCACTAGGAAACATGTTCCTTATGCACATTCGCAGGCCCAGCCTAGACCAACTGACTCAGAAACCCTGGGGTGGGGCCCAAGCAGTCTGTGTTTTAACAAGTTCTCCAGGTGATTCTGATGCAGGCTCAAGTTTCCTTTATTAGTATAGAAAAAAAGCTGAGAAGAGGCATGTATGAATAGTGGAAAACAGCCTTGGACTGGAAATTGGGAAACCTACAGACCATTCTAGCTGTTTCCTTGTTCATAAGATGGAGATGAAAGCACTACTAAACCATTTACAGAATTAAACACAATGGTATTTTTGAGAGCTGGCTAAGAGCACAGACTTGAGCCTGGCCTGGGTTCAAATCCTGGATTGGCAATTATTAGCTGTGTGACAAGTTATTTGTTACAATGAGGACAATAATACTGGCTCTACCTCATACTGTTATGAGAATTACATGAGCTAATATTTGTAAAGCACTTAGAAGAGTGGCATTGAGTAAGTGCTAATAAGTGTTAAATAAACTTTAAACACACACACACACACACACACACACAAGCAGTGTACGGTACCTGGTACACAGCAACTGCTCAGAAAATATCTTTTAAGAAAGGAAATAAGGCTAACTAGGATTAAAAAAAAAGGGAGCTCTGGTAGCACAGTGGCTAAGGCACTTGACTGCTAACCAGAAGGCTGGCGGTTCAAACCCACCAGCCACTCCTCGGAAGGAAGATGGGGCAATCTACTTCCGTAGTGATACTGCCTCGGAAACCCAAGGAGGGGTCGCTATGAGTCGGGTCCGACTCGACAGCGTATAACAACAACAACAACAGGATAAAAAAGGAAATAAAGCTAACTAGGATAGGGAAAAGATTAAAAGGACCCTCAGAGAATTCTTGTCACAGAAATGAGAGCAAATTGTCAACTGCTTGGCCCCCCTTTCTACATGAATCCCCATCCTCAACCCCAAGGGGCCTATCTGCCTGGAGATATCGAAGACCATCTGTCTGCTGTGGTGGGATTCAGCAGGCATTTGGTGGAAATTGTCCCCTGGAAGGACTGGCAACTCTGCAAAATATCCATTTGGCTTGAACAGTGGCAGAAACCTGGCCAGTGCCCCTGCCTTCCCTCCAGGGAATTGAGTGGATTCCAGGGTCTTCACAGGGAGTTAGGACCACAGGGGGGATCCCAGTCAGAGGAGCTGGGAGGAGGGACCGGCTGGTACTGTGCTAATCTCTTTTAAAATTATTTTTTTAAACAACTTTATTGAGGTATATACTACACATACCATAAACTCCACCAGTTTTAAATGTACAATTCAATATTTTTAATAAATTTACCCAGTTGAACAACCATCACCATAATCCAATTTAAGGACATTATCAGCACCCCAGTAAGACCCCTCATGCCTATGTACAGTTAATTTATCTCCCCAGCCTCAGGTAACCACTAATCTATTTTCTGACTCTATAGATTTGTCTTTCCTGGACATTTCATATTAATGGGGTTATATAACACATGGTCTTTTGCACCTGGCTTCTTTCACTCAGCATAATGTTTTTGAGGATCATCCATGCTCTAGCATTTATCATTATTTTATTCCTTTTTTTTTTTTTAACTAAATAGTATTTTGCTGTATGGTTGTGCCATATTTTGTATATTAGTTCATCAGTTGATGGACAATTGGGTTTTTTCCATGTTCTGGATATTATGAATAATGTGCATGTAAACCTTTGTGTGAATGTGTTTTTATTGCTGGGGATATGGTAAATTTATACTTAAAGTATAAGGAAACTGCCCAACTGTTTTCCAAAATGGTCATACCATTTTACATTCCCACAGCAATGTAATGAGGGTTCCTGTTTCTCCACATCCTCACCAACTTTTGTTATTGTCTGTCTTTTTGATTATGTTGTTGTTGTTGTTGTTATGTGCCCTCGAGTCAAATCCGACTCATAGCGACCCCTCCTTGGGTTTCCGAGGCAGTATCACTACGGAAGTAGGATTGCCCAACCTTCCTTCCGAGGAGTGG